GGGCAGATCGTGCGAGTCTTCTGCGCCTGGCGTACGGGCCGGGGGTTTCCTTCTAATACGTGGAGATGCAAGCTCATGCTACGCCAAAGTACGTTGCCAGCATCCGCTCCCTGTGCGCCACCAGCCCCGGGAAGCGGCGCAGCAAGTCGGCGAGCCTCGTGTCGTTCCAGCATAACGCCTGGTCGAGGATGATATTTGTGTAAGCGAAGACCTCGGCGTCGAAGAGCCCGGCCTCCTCCTCGTCGTCGTCGTCGTCGTCGTCGCTAGAAGAGAAGAACGGGGCCGACGTCGGCCCACCAGTCTTGGTCTCGTCGGCGTCCGTCTTGCTGGCGCTGATTCCCTGGAGGAGGAGGGTCTCTAGGGCGGCGAAAGCGGACTGGGCGTCTGCGTAGAGGGCTTCTACGTCGAGGAAGCCCCGGCGGGTGGTCTTGAGGATTTCTGATTCGGCGGCGTGGCGAACTTGGCGGAGGAGGGTGGCGCGGACGAAAAAGGCGCTGGAGGTCGGGTCGACGTAGAGGGCGGACAGGACGGGGGTGTTGGCCGGGGTGAGGTAGAGGGAGTAGAGGAAGGCTGGGCGCAGGCGGGCATCGAGGAGGGAGAGGTAGGCTTCTTGCCGTGTTGAGAGTGGTTCGGCGAGGGAGCGGGGGACGGGAGATGGGGCGTGGGCGAGAACGTGGTTGAAGAGGGTGTCGCCGGACGGGATGGGCAGGTTGTTCGACGGGATGGCGGACGGAGGGGGGAGGAGGAACGGGAGGGCGCCGGTCGGCGAGGCGTGGTTCGTCGAAGGGGCTGTCGAGAAGGGGAGGCGGGCGATCTTGAGAACTGTCTGAGGTCGGAAGCTGTTAGCTGGGGGCGTTGGTCCATGATGGGGGGGAAGAAGGGTTTTTTTTTTTTTTTTTTTTTTTTTCGCTGCTGTCGTTGGGAGGGGAGGGACACACCTGCCACTTTAGACAAGAAGGATTAAAACTCGGAGCGCCGGTGCGGGCGCCATCCGGCGTTGTGAAGACATAGAGGATAGGAGTGTCGCGGTGCGTCTCGGAGGAAGGCGAGCGGAGCGGCAGGTCGTTGGGTGGGTACACAGCTAAGGGTACGCGGTTGAAGAGGGCAGCGATGGGACCCGGAACGGCGAGCAAGCGAGTCGGGGCTGGGGGCGCTCTTGAGTCGGGCATGGTGGAAGGAGAGGAGATGAGGGGAGAGAAGAGGGGGCCACCAAGCCTGGGCGGCTCTGCGCAGTCCGATGTGAGGCCGGGGCTCGGAAGGGGGATGCGGCTTCACACACTTTTGCCGAAGCGACGTATGTATGTATGAGGATCGTATATGTTGTACAAGGCCAAGCCGGATCAGGAGAGGTGCAGGTTAGAGGATAGTGTAGGCTTGTACGTTGTAGGCTGAGCTGCAGGGAGAGTCGCCGGGTAGGAATGCAACGGCAGCCGGGGAAGGGTGCCCGCGTACGTTGTAAGACGCAGCAGATAAGGCCAAGACTTGCAGTCCCAAGAGCGGTGTGGATGGATGGTGCGAGACTGGGTGTTGGGTCAGGATAGGCAAGAATCGTCAGGGTCCGAAAAGAAGTGGGGGGCTTTGGACGAGGTAATAGTGTACGAATACATAAGGGATTCAATAGGGAGACCTCACGTTTCAATATCGAGACCTCACACGTGACATTCTAGTGGGGCCATAACGCCACCGCCAAGATGCATATATACCGCACCTATTTTGTATGTACATATTATGTAAATAATCGTAGGTGATATAGTAACCAACTCAATCTCAACACTCAATCCTAATACTCAAATCTTAATACTTATCTCGGAGCCGTAGGCGGTTATTTTATGTAGGATATCGTGTAGGATATCGTGACTTAATATTATCGTGTTTTAGGCGGTTGGATTCAGAGTTACGGTGTAGGAAGTGATACGTTAAGGTTTACGATGTCGCCTGCGATTTTCTACATAAAGTGTACATACAAAATAGGTGCGGTACATATGTATCTTGGCGGCGGGTTCATGGCCCCACTAAAATGTCACGTTTGAGGTCTCGATATTGAAACGTGAGGTCTCCCTATTGAGTCCCATACATAATTATATGGCTTCTGCCGGGAGGAGAAGAAAGGTGGTGGTGGGTAGTGGTGTTGGTGAACGATCTGTCCCACTCGAGTCCCGGCTGTTACGACTTGGTGCGAATTCTTGCCTCAGGTTGCCAGTCTGGACGTACAGTTGTACGCACTTTCGTGCTAAGTCTTAGCGAGGTACCTAATAAGGTACGGAGTACGAAGTACGAAGTAACAACCAACCCGAACGGAACGCTTCTTCGTAGGGCTTCTCGAAGAACAACCACGTGGGGGTCAATGCCAAGAAGCCCGACCACAACAAGTCAAAATTTTGGTCCATGAGCAATCGCTGGTTAAAACTCGTTGATTCTGGTCCAGCAGATCGCATCCACCATTTTCCCGGACACATGTATTACAGAGTACACGTGTTCATCATACCCCAACGATAATTTACACGGCAATATATATATATATATATATAATCTTTCACCGGCTTACAAATGTCCGCTATGTAGGTCGTATTTTCTCTAATTAACTGCGTCGGCCGAAACTTGGGGCCTATGGCGACACACAAGAACTTCTAGCGAAAGTGCAACGTCGCTAGGAACCACAGGCTCCGGGAGCGGGTCTAGTGGAGGAGACTCAGAAAGGTCACCGTTGCGAGCGACCAAAGACAGAAAGACCGGTTTGAGGGAGAGGGGAAGACGATACTACGGAGAAGAGAATGTGAAGAGCTAATAGTTCTCTGCAAAGTAATGACTTGTATTTCGCCTTCTCGCCATCGCACTCTTGCATGACCCTACTTTATCTTATATTGACCAGACGCGTAACACGTGTGTACACATCTGCAAGATAACAATGCAGATCTGCAGATACGACAATGCGAAACTTCCGGAACATCTCAATTAATTACTTTTTGGCCGCGCTGGTGATGGCCTGTATTGAAGAGTAGAACCGGGAAACTGGCCCCATCGGCATCGCAGCGCAGCCGCAGCCGCAGTCCATGGTCTCTCTGTTCGTACTTCGTACACACTACCTGTCGTGTAACGGAGGGACCGGTAGCCCGGTTTCGGTGGTGTCGAGGGAGCCGGTGGTTTCGGATACATGAGAAAGGGGGCAGCCCCGGGTTGGGGGAAGTCATGGAGGGCAGACGCCGGATGAAGTTGCACGGCAATATTCACACCGAGGTTTTTAGTGGGGGAGACGAGTTCCTCTCTGTCTCCCCTCTGTCCTGTGAAAAGCGTGGGGAATGGCAGTTCGACTTGGGTGTGGGAGTACGTATTGCGGCTCCAGGAAATCAGAAATGTTCGAGAAGGAAAATCGAATGATGATTTTCCTACAGGTATTCATATCCGTGTACTCCGCATCCGTACGTTGTACACGTAGATTGATCACTTTTGCTTGCAAGGAGAAAGGGATGGGCTGGGCCATCACATCCCGAACCCCCCGGACGACTAACCGATCAGCCGATACACCGAACGAGGTCGATGTCACGGTGTCGGGACTTGGCCGTATGTACTTCGTACGGATACAACGTAGGTATGTACTCCGCACTTCGGCAGCCTGTACCGTTGTAGGTAGGGGACGCTGAGGCTCTTGGCTAGCAGCACTGACAGCACTGGGAACACTGGCAGCACTGACATATGCAATGGGCAGAATGTGTGTTGTCCATATTTACGGGTTTCCTGCTCCCGCCCCTTGTCCTGCGACGTGGTGAGCGTCGGAGAATTTTCCGTGACCTTTATGCAGAGGCCTGATCGAGTTTGAAGCTCTGCTCCGATGGTGGTAGGTAATTACCTAGTAGTACTTAGGTTGGGTAAGGTAGTTCGGACACCTACCTTAGTATAGATAGCCGTGCATTCATCCCGCTGTCTCTGCGTCTTACCTTTGGTTCTTTCATGCAAACCCCCCTTTCCAGGCTAAAGTCCCGTTGCCTTTGTTCGGATGCCGGCTTTTTCGGTCCCTCGAGCTCTCCTGTCTCCCATCCGTTATATCCGCTTTTGGTACGGTACTTCTGTACTGGGTAGCATTCCAGTAAATACATTAACATATGATTTCTGTCCCCCACCTCACATGTTAGATTCTCGTGACACCTGGCATCTGAGGCGGTTTACGAGCCGTAGATCCGAAGTCTGGAAGTCTGGAAGTCTGGTCAGATAAGCATCATGTGGGGGGAAGTTGTGAGCATGGGAGTTTTGGGCTGAAGATTTGGGTACACAGCCAGGACATACTTCATAGGTATGCACCACGTTCTTCGTCTCAATTTGCAAAGAGGTAACACCAGGAAATAAAGGGGGGAAAGGGGGGAGGGGAGAGGGAGAGGGAGAGAGATCGGGATACCGCATCTGGTAGTGGGGATGATACCGTCATAAGCAACTCACAGCACGTAGGTACCATACGTACGTCGTACGAATAGTTAAGGTACTTCGGAAGTGCCACAAGAAGGGGGAAGAGGTACGGATACAGATACATGATGGCAGTTCGGGGGAGACCCCCCACTTCTCCAATTCAAGTACGTATACCTTAACGGCACACAGATTTCCCACCCCCGAGAAATGCCCCGTTTCGCGTTTTCGCGGGAAGCAGAAACGAGAGCATGAGAATGAGTTGGGCCGATAATCGTGTACACGTAGTGTACAACGTACTGCCGCGGTTGATGGGTCTTGGCTATCATGTCAATCCCGGGGACATGACGGGGGTTCTTTTTGGGCTCGGTTTGGGTTTCCATGCGAGCCTATTGGAATGCTCGAATTCTCCAATCTGGACCTTTCTCCATCCCATGCGGGTCCCACTCGCCGGAGCTGTGGGACGACGAGAAGGAAGAAACAACGTTATCATCCGTTCATAAGGTATGAACCTTGCCTAGGTAGGTACTCTACACAATGTATTGGTCTGCCTATCAAGCAGCAAGTCAGTCGGTCCCCTTGAGCCGAAGCTCGAGACGACGGGCTGGAGATTGAACAGTCTATTAAGTCTCTCGTCATCGCCCACACTTTCATACTTCTCCGCTTCCTGATAATTACTTATTCTTCTTCTCCCTCCCCCCGCCGCAATTCCCTTTTCCCGGTGTTCTGTCGTCGAGTCTTCCAAGCCTTCACGTTCATCCAGCCAGAAGTGACCGTCCCGTCCCCCTTTCTGTACCTTGAATCAGGAATATACCGAACGTCACTACTCCGTATTATTGCCCAACTCGTCTCCCCCCGGGATCAGACGCTGAATCAAACAACGAGTCACGAATCATACCCATACCGCCCCTTCTCCAATACTTAAGACAACACATCTTCCAACCTCACACCCCGCCCGTGTTCCCCCGCGTCGCTTGAGACGCCAGTTTCATACATAAGTGTACTTCTCAGAACCCCACGCCACGCCACGCACTTTTGGTTCCGGGGCCCCAGACAAACCAACCACCACCCGCAAGCGACGGATATTACTAGTCAGACAACTTCGTCAGATCGCGTGGAGACGGCATAGGCATTAGGTTCCTGTCGACTCGGTCCTCAGCTGTCATACCTCCTCACCTTGGCGGGATTCGTCCAAAGCTACAGAGTATTTCAGTCAGGTCGCCCTGAATTATATATCACCAAGGCGCCCGCCCCCAGCCCTTTGGAACACCCGAACAGATATCCGGGCAGACTCGTCACATCAAGTTACCCACTTCCCCTACAAACTGTGATAGATTTCGATATCTGCGAGCCGCCCGTCCATACTCTTCTTATTCTTCGAACAAGGATATCTTAACACCACCCCCCCAAAGGGTCCAGGTCACTTCTCAACTTTTCCCGTCTGTTGGCACGCGACTTTTCATCAACCAACGGCGCATCCTCGTCCCTCTTCCTGCCCCGCTCCCCCCCACGATTTTTGACGCCCTTGACGCATCCCAGACGAAAAGGCAGCCCGCAAAGGGGCCTGTCACATTCTGCTTCACACAATCTTGGGGAACTTTTTATCGCTCGGATCCCCCCGTCCCCCCCCGCCCTCCACCCCCTGGAGAGCTTCTGTCTCGGATAAATACCTGATCGACGCCCTACTTGCCTGAATCACCTCCAGGGACGCCCGGGTCACTCGTCTTCTCTCCACGCAACGCGCTCTATTCTAACACAGAAACGCCTGCGCCATTCCGAGCCAGGCAATCCTCTCCTCTTTTCCGCTCTCATCGATCCACAACATTAACAATGAACGCTCCTGTCCACTCTCCCGCCGGTCAGCCCGCCGGCCGCTCGTCTACGGCCTCCTCGGCGACCTCGTCGTCTGCTGCCTCGGGCACACACCAGCCGCGCACCAGTGCTTCTTTCGGTGCCGTTCAGCCCGCGCCGGTTGACGTCAAGACGCACTCGACCGACGCCTTCCTTCGGGACTTTAGTCTTGTTGCCGAGGCTGCCAAGCGAGCCCAGATGGCCGTCATGGTGCGCGACTTTGAGAGCATCGGCCTGTAAATTACAGGCAAAAAAATATCCAAGTTGGACACAACGCCCCGTGTCAACTAGAGACACCACGGGTCATGCCAGAGCGGGGGTATTCATTCGACTCTCCTCTTCCCAGGACGCCCTCGTGCAAATCGCAAATCCCATGGATATCGGGGGCACGGGGTCTGCATCCCGTGGTATCATATCTATGCCCATTTGAGACCTACACACGGTCTATATACCTGCCCTCCTTATCTCTAGACCGCCCGGGTTTATTGGTTCCCCTTGGTCTAGCAGACATAACAACCCTCTGGCAACCGAGCCGTCGGATTCTCTCTTCCCACAACACTTCCAGTACGAGAACCCAAACGCGCCGCCTCCAGGAGAAGCTTTACCTTCTGGATCGATTTACCCCACCTTCGCCGCTACTCTCTCTGCATGGTCTTCCCTAAACCACGCGACTCTGGGCCATGACATCATTGCGCGGCTTCTTTTTTTCCCTAACGTCTTCGTATCAATTTCGTTAACAGCATATTGTGTATACAACATAGCATATTACGGGGTTATGGGATGCTACAGGTGACTTGAGGTCAACGGAGTTGGTTACTGGTTTTTGTTTCTTTCTTTTTTGTCCTTTTTCTCCCCTTGTTTATTCCTTTTTTTTCTCCTTTTTTTTGTTCTTTGTTCGGGTAATTCGAGGGGTCTTCATGCAGAGCGCGTGGTCAGTGGATGGATGATCCATCTTGCTTCTTCTCCTTGTGTAGACGACGATTGGATATACCCCATTTTAAAGCTGGGACAACTTCGGGGGACTTGAAAGACACAGAGTACCTTAAGACAGAAGTATGAGGGGATTTAGAGGAGGGGTCACAATCAATGCAATCGTAATAACTGCCCGTACTGCCCGATAAGATCCACTCTTAGCCACATCACATGGTGCAAAGCTCCGAACCAGCTTCCAGTACTGACGTGCGAGTTCTTCCGAGAACCTACCTCAGTACACATGCTGGTCGTCTACAGCTCCAACCTCGGGCCTGATGTTCAACCGGAGAGAGCCGAGACATGCGCTGTTGGCGTAGCGAAAATAAAATATAAATAGAGGGTCCTCCTCTCGGACAATGGGTATTTCTAAGCAATACAACTATGCAACTCCTCCAGGTAGGCAGATAGTTCGTGCAAGACGTGACAGGGCAAGTCTTCATGGAAGCCCCCTTATTCCTTCCAACCAATGAATTAGATGTGTGGAATCCAACAAAGCTGCTTGATGCCGTCCAAAAACCAAACGCCAGGCTCGTTTCTTTTCTTTCTTTTCTGTTTCTTTTTCAACAAGTGCCGCTTTTTCAAGAAGTATGTATGCCGGAAGAGTGCGTACAGTCCCGTCCACGTCTCCACTCAACCAACCATCAAAAGCGCAGCAAGGAGGGCGATCAACAGAGCCGCCGAGACACGAGGACGACCAGGGCCGGCGCTGGCGTCCTTGCCGCAGCACTCCCGGTCGTACGTCACATTGTTGAACATGGCGGCGACTTCGAAGACGCTCCCGGGGTAGCCGCCGTAGTTGTAGTAGTCGACGTTGAGGACGTTGGGGGGCCGGCCCCAGTCGGCGACGCAGCCGTGGGTGGAGGCGCCGAGGGAGCCGTAGCCGGTGACGTTGTTGGTCTCGTTGAGCAGCGACACGGCGGGCACGAGGATCGAGCCGCCGAAGAGGTTGTACTCGGCGTTGAGGTTGTGGTTCAGGAGGTAGAGCCGGTCGCGGGCGGCGTCCGGGCCCAGGCCGGGCGGGCGCTGCACGCTGCAGGGGAAGTTGCGGTCCTGCGGGTTGAACGGGGTCTCCCACATCTGGGAGAACTGGTCGAGCAGCCAGGGGTAGCGGCGCTGGTCGGCCATGTAGTCCATGAACATGATGACGCGCTTGCTGCGGATGATGAGCTCGGCTAGGGTGGGCCAGTCGTCGAGAGTCATGGGCAGGTACGGGGGCTCGTAGGCGTACTGGGTGAGGCCCGAGGACTCGATGTAGGGCGCATACAACGACGGGTCTGAGTGGTTGCCGTTGCCCAGGAGAATGGTTACCACATCGAAGGGGTGGGCTTGCACCCACTCCCTTACAGTGGTCAGCCATTGCGTGATGGGACCGGCTGTGCTCGGTAGAAGATTGGGTCAGCGCGTTCAAAAAGACGAAGAAAAAAGAGGGAAGGGGGGTGGGTCGCAACAGGATGGACGAAGGTTGGGCCGGGAAACGAACCATCAAGCATATCACACGAGGTGTGGCAAAAGTGCGGCTCGGTATCATTCGGAGCGAACTGAATCTGGGCCTGGAGGAAACGAACACCGTCGTTGAGCTGGGCAGTGACCTCGAGCTCCTGGTTGGAGGCAGCGTTTCCAGGACGCACAAAGGGCGAGTTGTGGCATCCGATATAGGTGATGTTGCTCCACTTGCGATCGCAGAACTCGACGTAGTTGTTGCACGGGCGCGTGTTGGTAGGTTGCTCGGTGGTGCTAGTGGTCGTGGGCGTGATGGAGAAGTTGCCGCTCAAGGAGGTGGTCGTGGTCTCTCGGCCGGTGATGACCGTGTAATCTTCGTGGCGCGAGATGGGCACCCTCGTGGTGGTAGTTGTGCTGCCATCAGACATGACAGAGCCTGATGGTTCGTACACATCGCCAGAGAGGGTGATTCTCGATGTGTAGGTCGTGTATGGGCCAGTCGGGGTGGCGGGTTGTGTGAAGAAGGTTCCTCCAGTGCCGCTGATAATGAGGAGTCCATCGGACTCACTGAGCTGGGCTGTTGCGGGAGAGAAGAGGGAGGTAAGAGACGCGGCGAGACCAAGGCATCTCGCCAGCCTTCTTGAGCTCCCCATAGCGACGGAGGGACCGAGACGAGTGCAAGCTCTTTTCCAGCTCTTTTCTCGGCAGTGGCCCCAGAAGGCGTGGGAGACGGACTCGAAATGTTTTGACGGCTGGCAGAACTTGATGGCACCCTTCCGGCTAAGATTTGTCAAAGGAAAAGATAAGTGGAGGCATGAGAGAGCATGCAGCTTGGGTGTGGTCGGTCGTAAGACGGAGCTGTTTGGATTGATGCTAAATGTTGGTATTACAGTAAAAGGTGAGGTGAGATTGACGCTGGTGAAGTCAGAGGGAAGTTGCTGTTTAGGTACTTTATTAACTTATAAGCCATGACATTATACTTTGTAAGTACCTTACGGATAGGGGTCCAGACTTAAGTTCTTCAGGTACCGAACCCGAACGGTCAACACGCCAACTGGTGCAGGCAGCGCTACCAAGTAGGCGCTAATCCAAGCGCTATCTTTATTTAAGGTTTCTCTCCTCTTCTGTCCCTTGTTCTCTTTTCTTTTCTTTTCTTTGTTTTCTTTTCTTTGTTTTCTTTTCTTTGTTTTCTTTTCTTTGTTTTCTTTTCATTTTTCTTTTCTTAAACGAAATACGATGTGCAACCCGGCTTTCTACGCTAACCGCTTCTTCCGTTTCCCCAGCTTGCGCGAGCTGTTCCAGGCTACCATGCAGTGCTTCGTAGGTATTGGACATGCCAAGTCCGCCAGACCAGATCCCTCAGACTCTTACCCACGCACTGCCACCGACCCGCACAAGTTTCAAACGACTTGGGCCACTGGCTGAGGTGAATGGCTGGACGCGTGGTCATTTTGCCAAGTATTTTAGAAAGTGATAATACTTGGTACATACAGTGAATGTGTGCCGCACCATGCATCCTTACGGATGCGAAGTACACTGTACGGAGACCGATATCTGTATATTATCTGCTATATAGGGATGGAAAGCTTGTTTATGCCAGCGAGATCGGCTTTTAACTTGAGGTTCAAAAGGAAAATGATTCTTGGACGCTGGGCCCACCGTATGTCAGGTCAGGTTGCTGCCCAATTGGTGATCCTATGCCAGAATGGGATGACAAGTCTTTCGAATCCAACGTTTATCGTCATCTGACGACTAGGCCAACCTTGTGAAAGACGATGCTTCTTCTTCTTTTCTGTTCTTTTCTTTTCTTTTTTTCACTTCTTAAATTAGGTACTCCGAGAGACCGGCCACACAGATACTCTATCCGGAGTACATTTTCTGTAGGGAGTGTACACGTGTAGATGATTGAAGTCGATATTATTTCGCTACAGCCACATTGGCTTCCCCTGAAACAAGAACGAATTGGGGCAAACGGTGATAGCGAACCGCCTGGCGAGTTCATGTTCTGGGCCCAATGCAAGGAAGCTGGCGGAGGTCCGCCTCTTACAATTGTACGAAGTACTTTTCCTCGCTTTGGTTTGGGCGTGACGCCAGCCTATGGTCGGTCTGCTGTAATTAGCGCTACGTCACCCCTATTGTCAGTGCTGACATTCAGGTCAGGTACGGACACTGGCGATGGACTAAAATTACAACGTACGAAGTACGTTGTACCTTAGGTAGGTACACTACGAAAGTACTATTCGTACCACTAAACGCATGGACCCTGTCGTCCTCGCTCCAAACAAGACAAAGCATCTGCTCTTCAGGGCGTGAAGAACAGCCCAGTCAGTTCTAAGGAGACGACAGAAAGGCTCACGGAAGACATTCGTCTCACCTGGGCACGGTTTAATTCGTACTGTTTTCGTACCTGGGAAGCAGCCCCCATCTACTGTCGGCTTTTCCTCCATCTCACCTCGACGACGGTTTGCCCCTACCTTAATAGCAACAGGGGCATCTCTCTTTGCTCTATTCCACCACAAAAGTCAACGTCCATATCACGACGAATTTCAACACTGAGACTCCTCCTGGCGCACATCGTCTTTCTGTGTTTTCCTTTATTTCTCGTCTACCATGACTAGGAACGCGCGACGAAACAGCGTCATCGTCGCCGCTGTCTGTTACTTGATCGCTATCGTGTTCCTCATCCTCGTCCTCACAGGGAACACCTACAACAGGCCCATTCTCGCAGACATCTATTTCTTCCGTCTCGACGTCTCGGAGGTCATCCCCGTCTCCGTTCCCAATGCCGTCCTTCTCAATAGCATTGCTCGAAGCCTCGGCCTTCATGACTTCTACCAGGTTGGTCTCTGGAACTTTTGCCAAGGTTACCTTGATGAGTGAGTGAACACCCGTCTCTTTTCCCCTTTCTGACCTTTTTTGCTTTTCTTTTCCTTTCTTTTTTTCTTTTTCAAACTCACTACTTCAAAACATATGTTCAATGCGCTACCGGGAATGGCAAGTACTAACACGCCGCAGGGGCTTCACCGACTGCTCCACCCCCACGGCCGGCTGGTGGTTCAACCCAGTCGAGATCATGACCGAGCAGCTCCTCTCCGGCGCCTCCATCGCCCTCCCGGCCGAGATCAACACCGCCCTCACCATCCTCCGCATCGGCCAGCAGGTCATGTTCGGCTTCTTCCTCGCCGGCATCTGCCTCGCCTTCATCGTCATGCTGCTCACCCCCGTCGCCCTCCGCTCCCGCTGGTGGTCCCTGCCCCTCGCCCTCCTGGCCTGCCTCACCGCCGTCCTCGTCACCGTCGCCAGCACCATCGGCACCGCCATGAGCCTCGCCGCCAAGTTCGCCATCACCGCCCAGTCCGAACTCAACCTCCGCGCCGACATCGGCGTCCGCATGTTCGTCTTCATGTGGATCGCCTCCGTCATGGTCATCGTCGCCTTCTTCGTCCACGCCATCATGGGCTGCTGCTGCCGCCTTGACCGCTCCGGTGTTGGTGAGAATGCCGACGCCGCCGAGGGGAGTGGGAGCCCCAAGGAGGAGAAGGCGTCGAGGTCTTCTTTGGGCCAGGTGCCTAAGCTGCCCAATTTCATGCGCAAGCGCCGAAGTGCCCAGCCAACGGTATCCCCTGTATCCCCTGCATCATGAAATCGTTGCAACACGGTAGAATATGCGGAATGGTAGCCCGGGGGGAACTCTAGACATTGGTCTCAGGCTCGCGTCTTTCTCCCATAGCTGCTCATTTAAGGCAGAAGCGACTCTTTTTTTTATTTTATTCTTTTTGGTTCTTTTTCACTTTGCATCATAGAGCGGCACAGTTCATTCCACTACATCTGCAGTATAGATAGGCGTACGACAGGCTGTAATCCACACACGAAGCCATTTCCCAGCAAAGGCGAAGGCTCAACGAGGACATGTAGGCATGGCGTTTGTTGTACACGTAGTAGTAGAATATATGGTGATTCAGCTGATCGTTCAGGCTCTGGGCAAGAACACAAAAGTAACCCGGCCTGGTCTCCTAGAAAGCCCGGCCCGGGTGAACGCTTGAGGTGAAGGCAGACAGGTGGCGATTTCAAATCATGACACATCGTTCATCTCTCAGGTGGCCGTGTAACGGGAGTCTTTCATTGGTCATCATATTGTACGTAACGGGAGCAGAAGTAACTGCATCCAGAGGGGTATAAAGCCTCGTACATGGCCTAGTCCATGTCATAAGATACATCCGCGATGCCCGAGCTTTTTTTGTTGTCCTCGACTCGAATTCCCAAACGCCGTTACTAGTCCATGCCTCGACGCGCTGAAGCCGTCTATGCCTGCTGGTCGCTAAGGATGTCGGAGTCACCGGCATCGGTGATGGCCATGACACCAACCTGGTCGCGCAAAGTCAGAACAGTCCAGGTTTTTAGGGCGAGACGGATGTCGGTGAAAACGTACCCTGAAGAGCTTACCGCAAGCAGTGCCGAGCTCGATCTGGAAAGGGGTAAGTCAGCAAATTTTATGGCCCTCCAAAGCCTTGGATAAGGCTTCTTCGCTGGGCAGGCCAAGGGACGGGTGTCCACAAGACCGATAGCAACGAACGCCGATGGCTGAAAGCCAGGCTTGAAATATTGAAGGAGTGAACTCACGTTGTTGCCGGTGAAGTGGTGGACAGGGGCCTTGGAAAGCTGTAATGCTACTGTTAGCGGACGTGGTTCTGTAGTTGAAGCATGGAACCTGCGGAATAGAACGTACCATGGCGTAGTACTCAAGCTCGGACTTGCGAAGGGGAGGGGTGTCTGTGTTGCAAGGCACTCGGTCAGTAAATGTCGCATAGAGAACAGGGAGCAGATGTGAACTAACTTCCAGCAATGAGAATCAGCTTGGCCTTGCCGTTGCGGAGTGTCTTGAGAGTGCTCTTGTAACCCAGCACAACTCGGCCGCTCTTCATAACAAGAGCCAGCTTCGAGTTGCTATTCATAACCCCAAGTCAGCCGGATGAACGTTCCTCTCTCTGAACACACGGTGAATCATTTCTGAGTGGAGGTGCCGAAGAGAGCATTTTCCAATGTCGCCCATTCTCAAGTCGAACTGCCTGCCCTCGGAACAGACGCTTCGGTAGCGGCCGTTTCGACGATGAACGGGCCAGAGACCGGTTGGGAAGAAATCCTGAGTACGTACATGCTGTTCGAGTCCTTCTTGCTCTTCTTGGGGGCCATTGTGACGGATTTTGTTGACGGCTGTCCGGGTGTCAAGTCGGTCGTTGGGCGGTATTTCGAGGACGTTGTCGGCGACGAAGAAAGTTTCACACGTTCTTGGTACTCTGGTTGGGATTATTCCTGGAAAGTCAGGTCGGTGGATCTCCAGAAGAAAGTGCCCCACATCGATACCCCAATCGCAGTTGACAGCCAATCATGCGGCTTTATGATAACGCAAGCCCTAATGACCCGCATCGGGTAACGAGGCCACCTTCTTGCCACCCGTTGAATTTATCAGCAACCAAGGTGGTGAATTTCTAAGCAGGTGGGTTCTTGAGCGAGTCCGCCCACTGTCCGTGGAGAGATAGACAAGTCATTTCCGCCGCCCTCCCCTCAACTTCTCCCCGGACATCTCCCACAGTCAACCAACCCCCCCATAGAAGATCGTGAGCAAATACCGACAAAATGGCTCGCCGTCCTGCTCGTTGCTACCGGTACTGCAAGAACAAGGTGAGCGCACTCGCGCCCCACGGTCGTCTTGCATCTCGATTGCCCGCCTAGCCCTAGCTCTCGACACTCTGACGACCGTCCGTCTTCTCGCCCGCGCTCCCGTCTCCGCCGTTGATCGTCAGAAGAGGAAAAGACAAGAAAAGAAAAATACGATGATTTCTTCTGGAGGAAAAACATTGTCAGATGGAATTCTGGAGCGATCAACGGATTATGCGTGGCCGGGCTGGGGCTAGGCGTCGGCAACAGTTCTAGAGATGGCAAAAGATCGAACAGAGGAAGAAGAAAAGAAAAAGAAGAAAAAGAAGAAGAAAAAAGAAACACTGCAGGAAATTGTCGCTAACATGTTTGTTTCAATTAGCCGTTCCCCAAGTCCCGGTATAACCGCGGTGTCCCCGACGGCAAGATTCGCATCTTCGATCTTGGCCGCAAGCGTGCCAGCGTCGACGACTTCCCTCTCTGCATCCACCTCGTTTCCGACGAGTATGAGCAGCTGAGCTCCGAGGCCCTCGAGGCCGCCCGTATCTGCGCCAACAAGTACATGGTCAAGACCGGAGGCAAGGAAGGTTTCCACCTTCGCGTCCGCGCCCACCCCTTCCACGTTGTCCGCATCAACAAGATGTTGTCGTGCGCTGGTGCCGATAGACTGCAGACCGGTATGCGTGGTGCCTGGGGCAAGCCCAACGGCCTCGTGGCCCGTGTCAACATCGGCCAGATCCTCATGAGCCTTCGCACTCGTGACTCTAGTAAGTTCCTGTTGTTCCCGCTCAGCCATTTAATTCCCTGTTGAATAGAGTATTATTTTGGGGGAGGATGTCTGGTCGCTGACTAACGTCATCTTCAGACCGTGCCCACGCCATCGAGGCTCTCCGCCGCTCCCGCTACAAGTTCCCCGGCCGCCAAAAGATCATCGTCTCCAAGAACTGGGGCTTCACCCCTCTCCGCCGCGACGAGTACCTGGAGAAGAAGGCCGCTGGCCGTGTCAAGAACGATGGTGCCTACGTCCAGTTCCTTGCCAACCATGGCCGTCTCGCGGAGAACATGCGCCGGTTCCCCGCTGCTTTCGAGGCGGAGGCTTAGAGGAAGGGTCATGTTTCGCTAGGGGGAAAATGGGGGTTCTTTTTCACAGGGCTGGCGTCTTGAGTGTGATCGCAGGTCCCGTTTGGTGACCTTGCTGCGATAGGGTCCAGATAGGAATTCGATCAAGCCGCATTCCCATGGCATTACATATGGACGACCATTTGAGACAGCCTTTTGTCCCCCTCGTTATCACTCACTTTGTGACCGGCTGGCTACCTTCCTGAACGTTTGATAGCCTCTGGTTTGCTGTGACATTTATATGACAACAACCCGCATGGCGGGGACGACCAAGTGTCTACAAGTCACCGAGTGGGTGCTGATCTGAACTAGCCCCACACACATGGCAGGTGACCGGATGCTGTAAAACAGGTATCTGCACAGAGTGGTTCTCCCTCGTTATAGGGATCGGCAGCAGTGGAAGTCAGGTTAACAGCCGGGGCGATCAGTAATTCCGTACATGACCCAAATAGGGGCATGTTCGTGGTCGTTGTCTCGCTCACTCGGAAGAACAGTTCATCGTTCGGCTCGGCCGCAGTCTCAGGCTGGGAGACATGGAGCTCGACAAGGGAGCTTCCCTTGATTGTGATCCAGACTACCTGTGACAGGATCAACCAGAAGCTCTAGGTATGGCCTGTTCCACAGTTGCAACATCATATTCGTCAACGATCAAGTCCTTGTTTCGTGCCTGCGGAGGGAGTAGCGATGATGACGGCCGTCTTTTCCGTTTTAAGGGTTGTAACCTCGGGGGACCTCGAGGTTCTTCACGGGTTCGTATGATTCTGTACTTGGCTCACATTAACTGGTGGTATGCCTGGGGGTTGAGGCTCTGAGCGGCGGAGCGGTACCAGTCGCGCTGCTGCTGGGAGCCGTGTCGTCATCACCTTGCTCGTCAGAATTTCCTCCTCGATGGTGGTGACTGTGGTAAGAGCTAGTGCGGCGATGATAATACGGGTCGAAGGATATGAGGGAAATTCGAAAAGACCACTACAAACAGAGGGATGGTCGCCACTTGATATATTCCTGATCTACGAGTTCGATGGAAGTGTGATACCGTTCGAATAAGCTCGAAACTCAAAGGTAACCAGATCCGTCGAAGTGCTCGCGGATTATGCGAACATGAGGCGAGACGGTAAACTATGTTACTACCTATGCCAATTTACCAGTTTATGGAGCTTGAACTGAAAGGGCCGGTACTGTGAAATCATACAAGAATGGCAAGGGCAGAAAGATGTCATCAAGGTTTACGAGGAAAGCAACTGTGCGTCTATCTGTTGCAGTAGGGCGGCAGAGCAATTATCCAGTAATACTTTGTAAATAGGTATGAATCACGTACGGTGTCCGCAATACGGATAGACAGCCCGCAATGGTGGGAGGAAGTAGGAAGTATCCGTACACTAGTGTACTAATAAGGTAGGTAGGTACCTTAGGGAAAACGGGAAGCCAAACCGGTACGAGCCTCGTGGTAACAGATTTGGTTCCCCTTGGTCCTCTGTACCGTACAGAGTACCTTACTCAGTACCTTTGTTTCACACGCCATCCTCACCGCTGTTGGTCCTAACAAGCCGCCCCTCTCGTCCCCCAACCGTCTTTCTTGCACTGGCGTGTGACATTTCAGCCCAAACAACTCCGTCCTCCCGTAACCGTACTCCCGTAATTTAATTACTTACCTATTACCTACGGAATACGGGTACGGGCGTCAACTGGGATCCCCCTTTCTACTGGTCACCATTCATCGCCCGCCACTTCACACCGATTCAGTATTTGGTATTTGACCTGGGGGTTCCTCCATCACACCCACCCACCGCCTTCCCATATCATGCTCTACGTATGATCTGCAACCTACTTTCCCATAGACCACCCGAAGACATAGCTGTCCACATATTCCAGCACGGTGTCTTTCTTCTGACTACTTTTTTTCACCTACATCCACGTCCGAGGCTTCGAGTCGGTACTTGTTACCTTAGTGAGGAGCGTGACGACATATTCGGTTTCCCCCCTCTTTATCGCGTGACTACCTGGGGTTGTTGGGTTGCTTCCTTATCAACCAGATCGGGATCCCCTTATCAAAGACTCCTGACAACAGCCAGACCACCCCCCCACCCCCTTACTACCTAAGGTACCTACTATTCGTACATTTGTATTCGAGCTTCCACCTCAACGACCTCCTCTCGGGGCAGGGAGCGATCATCATGGCGTTCCATCAGCCGACTCGACATTCGCTACAGCGAGTCATCCAATCTGTCGGCGATAGGCCCTCCTCGAATCACCCGGGTCACCTCCAATCTGCAGAGCAACCCAGTCCCGATGAATCGCAGACCTGGGTACTCTTCTCGCCTGCTGCTGCTGATGCTACTACTTCGGCCTCGTATCTCAGCAGTGCTGGCGAATCCATCCCTACGCCAGGACGGTCCCAGATTAGCGACCTGGGCAGCCTCAACACGATAGCTCGTTCGAACCGGGATGCGTACTTTAGACAGTCTGCCACTCTCTCGGCTGCTATCGACGACGACTCTGTAGAGGACGATGCCGAGCTCGACAGCCTAGATAGCCATCTTCCCGATTTCCGCACGCTCGCGAGCCCGTACAACGAGCAACCTCCTAGCCATCACCATGACGCCGCCGTTTTCCCCACTCACGACGGGCTCGGGTCGTTCCGGTTAGACCCGCCTGTAGGGGCAACAGAGATCCAGGAGCAGATCTATTTGTTCGAACAGTTCAATCCGCGGCGAGTTCGGAGGAGGAGGGAGAGCCTCGAACTCGCCGAGCTGGAGATGCAAGAAGAGCAGGAGCAGCAGGCACATAAGATGCAAAGGATTGAAGCATGGCGGTTGGAGCAGAGTCGCGTTCTTTTGGAAGAAATACATAAACAAACGAGGCGGAGGAGGCCATCCCCTTCGCAGTCGCAGTCGCAGTCCCCGTCCCAGCCGTCTACCCGACATCGCACGCGGGCCAACGAAGCAAGGACGGAAAATCCCGGAAGCTCCGATCCTGCGGGACAGGCAGACCGGGAAATCATGGATTGGCACGAAGAGCCAGCCCCGCAAGCGCTGGACGACCGGGGCGTATTCGCCAAGATCACGCGAAAGGTCATCAAGGACCTCATCGGGATCGACGACAGGCTGCTCTCCCTCCTACTTGGCGAAACTCTGCCCGCGTCAGAGGACGACGACGACCTTTCATCCACGCCCAAGGCGATTACTGCTGCCGGTCTAGCCACCAGCCCACCGCCTACGGCCGACCAGTCACCCTGGCAGATCCAGGTGCTCGACCGCGTGGCGAGAGAGCTGGGTTTCCTTATTAGCCAGTTGTCGCCACATCCCGGTGCGTTCTCGACATACGCGCGAATGCAAGAGATGCCGATCCCTTACGCCGGCTTGCCCGTCATCCCGGAGACGGCAGCCAGCCCCTCTTCCACTGCTCTGGGAGCCGACGAAGTATCCGCCAAGATGCCCGAATTTAAGCCCACCATGCCCGCCGCGTCCGAACCTATCGACATCCCCCACATCCGAGACGCGGGCGTCGACGTTCGGGAAACGGCCACGCAGGCGACGACCACAACAAATCACCCTCGCCGAGACGAGACCACCACCTTCACGCAGGAGGAATGGGAGCGGGACCTGGACGTCAAGCTCGTGTTCCGCTATCTCCGCTCGCGGTTCACCTCCCACACGGCTTCTGCGCCGGCCTTCACGTCGGGCACGTCGCACTTGGCGACCTGCAGCACGCAGGACCTGGCGGCCAAGGCAGCACGGGTCCGGCAGCACCACCCCCTCGTGGCCCGCACGCGGCCGGCGGCCGAGCGGAGGGCGTTCAAGGCCACGGCGCCGCAGAGCCCGTCGGCGTTGCGGCATGCGTCGAGCTGCGCGAGCCAGAGCACCAGGCGGTCGGCGCGCCGGAGCAGCGTGTCGTCGCGGCACTATTGGGACATTGGCGGTTCCCTGGGGACCGGGTCTGTGATTGCTGGGTCGACGGGTCCGATGGGCAGCTGGGGTGAAGTGTGAGAGGGGTGTAGCGTGGGAGCGTTGGTGGATTCTTTCATGGAGCATTTTGACTTTTTTTTTTTTTTTTTTTTTTTTCTCCTTTTCATTTCTCGCCCTCTTCATCAATGATCTCTTGGGCCTCAATGCGGTTGTTGCTAAAGCAGGCGATTTTACGATGTCTCTTCATAGAGGGATGATCATCTGGTGGTATGTCAAGGCATCTCGCGCAAAGCAATGTTTTCTACTGTCTTTTTTCCTTCTTTTATTTTTCACCCCCCCCTTGTCCCTCGAAGGGATTAAGGCCAGGGGGCAGCTTGGGGAGGTTAACTGGACGACATGGAAGACATGAATGACACTTCGGAGCGGACTTTTAGAGGGATATCGGCCGTCGTAGACGGATGCCGTACTCTTTGAGGCTTTTCGCCTTTCCCCTATCCCACCTGCTTCAGGTTACGACGAAACACCTCTCTTCACTTGATGATAATAAAGCAACACTTGAGCATCCAATCCAAGTACCAAATGAGCTACTCGAGCCTAGTTTCACAGATGACTCTGTCATAGTTTTGTACTCGGTATCACCAAGAACATGGTAAGATTTACTCGTTGTAATGGAACGATTCCGCGTTACTGCGTGTCGCATTTTACCCAGCTTTGCCTGCGTAAAGTTACAACAAATTTGCAATGCTAGGAGGGAAAGACTACAAGTTGAGGTCAAGCCGCCTCGCCCAGGTACGTGAGTGATAAATCAATGCGACGACAAAAACCGCAGCAACTACGTAGAAACGGCTGGAAGATCAAGTTCTCTTGTCCGTCTATGTTGCTGCGCTGTTTCTACCAAAAGACGCTTGAGGCGGTTCCCGCCCATAACGACAGGTTCACCCGACCATACTCCTCTTGCGCCCTCTCATCCGCACGTCCTCCAGCTTCCGTAGCACCGAGGTGGCCTGTTTCGCCGGTAAAGCTCCCCGGTAACCCTCTAGTACCTCGGGGAAGAGCACTTCGGCGCGGGGGTGTGTACTTCCGAAGGCACGCTCCAGGACGTACAAGTCGACGGCGCGGTCCTCATCGGACGAACTCTGGGAGGAAAGACCGAAGTCAATGAGGACAATGTCGCCGTCCAGCGATGCCTTGGCGCCCGAGTCGGTGGCTGTTTCGGCTGTCTCGATTCCAGAATCCGCAGTGGGCGGCGGCCGTAGCATCATGTTGCTCGTCGTCAGGTCACCGTGCACGATGCCGGCCCTGTGGAGCTTGCCAACGACGGTGCCGACGTTCCTCATGAGGGCCTTCAGAGGGGCGTCTTCCCGTATCCTCCGTCGGGCCTCGCCTCCGTTTTCGGTTTCTTCGTCGCTCCACTTCCCAGTCGTTCCCTTGTCGTCCTGGTTCGTGTTCTCCCGGACCTGATGCTTCGGTACGTCTCCCTGCTGCTGCTGCTTCTGCTGATGTGTACTATCGTCGTCTTCCTGCTCCTCCGATATCCTGCTCCCCAGGGACGCCACCTTTTGGGCCACTGCGGCTCGTGGCCGTGACGAAGCGGTGGGGTGCTTCTGGGCGAGCCAGGTGTTGATGGCGACGCGGACGGGGTCCCCGGAGATCCATTCGAGCAGGAGCCAACCGGCGGCTTCGTCGAGGGCAAAGACGAGCGGCACGGGGACGGCTTCGCGGCGGCATCGGTAGAGGATGCGGGCTTCGGCGAGGATGCGGGCGCGGGTGAGGCGGGCGTCTAGGATTGGGTGACGGTATGGCTTGGAGGGCCGGTACTTGAGAGCCGCGGGGCGGGAGGGGTGCAGATGGTTCGTCTTGTAGAGGCGGCCTTCGGCGCCTTGGGCGAGAAGAGTTGGCGCGATTGCGGCGTGGGCGAGGACATGTGGGAGTGGGAATGAGGCGGCGACATGGGTTGGTGGTAGTTGCGCCGCCATGTCTGTATGTTCTGTCGTTCTGTCGTTCTGTGGTTCTGTCGTTCGTTCTTGATTTATCCGAGCAATGAGTATTGTTTATTTTCTCTCATATGCATTTCTGATGCAGATTTCTCTTCCCAAAAGTAACAAATGTGCAAAGGAACGCGTGTCGTCTAAGCATCTCGAGTGTCAGTCGATGAGATGTTCGTTTATCGTCATGGAAATGGAATTTGGAGGGGTTGATCGATTTGAAGGCGGGGCACAGAGCAGATGGAGCAGATGTTTGTTCTTGACACCTGCAAGCTGGGGGATTATCCAGCTATCCAGCTGGCACCAGTCAGCCCGCTTCTGATCCCACTTTGTAAACGGCCCGGTGATTCCCGGGTCTCTGATTACGTCCTTTGTACCTTCATATCTTATCTTCATACCTTCATAAGGTACCTTCGTACCTTCGTACTCCTTGTCGCATAGACCTCCCTCGGGGGTGGAATAACCTGACGGCCGATTACGCGTTTAGGGGGGTGGTTTTCTTTTTTTATCGTATTTATCCTATCCTTTTTACGGTTACGCTGTATTCGACACTCCTGACCCCTGACTCGATGACTTTCCACTTTCCCCTCCCGGAAGGTCAACCAAAACTCGTCTCCCAGGACCCCTTTCGTCTCGGTTTTCTCACCCAACAACACCCAGCCCACCCATTGTTCATTGTTCACCCCATTAGGCCTGGCCGGGGGCAGACACTAATGCTTGCACATGATGTAAAAGTCCCACGAAATAACGGACCAAGCATGCTATCAAGCAACAATCGCGGGGGTTACCCATCCGTATATGGACCCGTCTCAAGCGAGGGGAGATGAAGTGATGCCAACCTTGGCCAACAATGTCTCCAACATGCCAACATGAGATGAACAGGGAGAGGAAACCCCCGGAAGGACGATTCCTGCCAGGGGTCTAGGCCGAACCAGAAATCAAGCCTTTACTGGGCTAGATAACGAATAATAAAGGACGTTCGGCGAGAGAATACGAAAGCATCGCCAGCATGTCAAGACCTTTTGAGTGGAAGTCGTCCACTCTTATACGATTGTACGTTGTACGGACCGTATCACCATGAGACGATTAACCCGAACTTCGGTATTGTTGATTGTTCATGCTCTTTACTTTCTCCTTGTCCCGCTCAATGGCAACATATCCTGGCATCGGTCCTCGTCTCAGATGAACGACCTGATTCCGCACCTCATGCACATCTCATGCAGGTGTATGCGTGTGTATCTGTCCTCAAGAGTGTCCTCAAGAGTGTCCTCAAGACTCGACCCAGTCCTTCTTGGGCGCCTCCCGCCGACGGCATCGCCGCCGTGATCAACGGGCGGACCCACCCCCACCTCTCCTCTCACTCTCAGCACCAACCCTAACATAGCTAACTAGTTCGGCTCCCCGTCAGCAATCGTTTTCTGTTTTTTATTTCGGGGGTTCCAGGAGTACATATGTATAGGGATTCCGAGGGATAGGAAGTGAGATCTGGATGAGTGTACTGCACTGCACTGCACTGCCCTTTGCGAAGTGGGTGATGCGCCACCGTCCCAAACTCGTGGGCAAGCGGAAGGACGGACGTGGAAGCAAGGGAGCGGGGATTCGCGATGCTGCGGTTGGCTGTTTATTCGGTTCGCACCCCTAAGCCCGATCGTCGGTGCCGGCATTGCGGTCCCTGAATAATGGTGTGGTGTGGTGCGGTCCTCGTCCTCTGTGCCTTCTGTCTTCTGTGCTCCGTCTTTCTTTGTCTACTTCTCAATCTCGCCGTCTCCTCTGTTTTATCTATCGCGTTTCCTGAGGAAGGTGCCACGTCAAACATCTCTGGCCTCGTAATATTATGACCACCACGGGGAACAAAGGGCGACTATTCTGACTTTCGACAGCATGCGATTTATTCGGTCCACGTCGTTAGCCGCATTATCACCACCGTTGCCGCCGCCACAGCCATAATCGCCATCCCCTTCATCATGGCACGGCTTCAAGCCGTGCTACTTGCCCTGTGCTATGGCGTCCGAACTGCAATAGCCCAGGAAGAACACCAGATTGGCGCCGTAGAGCTCTTGCCCAACGGGCTGTTTCCTCGCTTCCTCGACCTTACCCCAAAACTGGTGCGCCGCGACGGCCCGCCATGCAATCCTGGCCACCATAGATGTAAGGCTGGCCTTGGCCTGGCCGCTGGTGTCCCCAAAGCCACGGACCTCTTTTTCCTTTTCCTTTTTCTTTTTCTTTTTTGGATGTTGTTGTTGTTGTTGTTGTTGGTCGCGGCACGTAGAACTAACAGAGCGAGTCGCGCAATAGGCATCGATGTGGACGAAGATGGGTTCTGCTGTCGCAATGACCAGTATTGTTACATTCGGCCTGGCGGTCAACCTGGTTGTTGCGCAATCGGGTCGCTCTGCGATTCCAACTGCGATGCTACAGCGTACCAATGTACGACCACCATCACAACATCCGGCACGACTTCGACCTCGTCGGCTTGTTGTGGCCGCAGCTGTCCAACCACGAGCTTCTTCCAATGCGAGTCCGAGTACGGCGGGAATTGCTGCCCTTACGGAGCCACGTGCGCCTCGGGCGGCCTGTGTCGCATGACGAGATCGACAACACCCAGCGCCATCGTTACCCCAATCGACCCTGGCTGCACCGCCACGACCCAGCGATCCTGTTCCGACGGAGGCGGGTGCTGTGACGAGTGGATGCACTGCACCGAGGTTGACCGGACCCGCGGGTGCGCCCCGGGAAACCCATCCAACGGATGGACCTTCGTACCTGACCCGGACGCGGAGGAGGAAGAGGATACAGGCGGGAGTGGCGGGCTGTCTACCGCCGCCAGGGCGGGGATCGGCGTCGGCGTCACTGTGGGAGCATGCGCTCTTATCGGCGGCGTCGTCTGGTTCTTTTGCTTCGGGCGCAGGAGACATCGACAAGAACAACAACAGCACCAACAACAACAACAACAACAACAACAACAACAGAACCAAGGGGGGGCCCGAGAGCAACAACAACAGCAAGATGGCAGCCGCCGCTCATCCCAGCCCATCTCGGGCACTGGATCACATCACCCCCGCGGTCGCAGGATCACCGGCGATCACACTCCCGGCGGGCAAGCCATGTCGGACGTCGCGACGGACATATCGCGCCCTACGCGCCGGCGCGGCTTGACGCAAGACTACTTCGGCCCGGCCGCCGTCGCGGGTCCCTTCACCGAGACGGCAACCATGTCGCCCGCCACGTCCCCGGGCCTCGACCGCGGCGTGCCCCTGATGGCGCAGTCGCCAAACGACATTGCAGCGCCCGTGGAAATCGACTCGCAAGTTTCGCCAGCACTGCCCCGCAGAGATGATGCCGCCGGCGCAACGGTCGCATCCGCCTCGGCGCCACCGCAGCACTCACCGGCGGCGGCTGAGAACTGTTTTGAGCTTTACGGTACCGAGATATCCCCGGAACGTTATGCGCGGCAGCAATCGCAGGGGTCATTATCACCTTGGTCGCCGATATTGACGCCCCAAAGTATGAGGGGCGGATCGGAGCCGGAGCCTCGGCCTTGAGCAGGTCCATGAAGAGAGTACAATATAGAAAGGAATATAGCATAGTTATATAGCGCATCTATTTCAGAGAAATCGAGTCTTATTTTATTCTTCTCTTCTCTCGGCAAATCCTTTAAGAATATGCCAGTGAGCCGACAGCAGGTCTTCGCAAAGCCCATGTGCCGGATAAGACCCTGAGGGGGCATATGTGACAACCCAAGGTCAAGAGAAAGAAAAGAGAGGTCAAAATAGATGATATTATACTCGCCTCGACAAACAAGCTGCGGGCAAGATCCGGACTCTTTCTCCTTTTGAATACAAACAAACAAAACTCCGAGCCTGTTCCGTCCAAGTTGTTACAATCCGACCGACCGCAGAGACAAGACGACCCCCCCCCCGCCGATACCATCCTAAACGCCATGGAACGGAAATGTAGGAGCAGATGTAAAGCCACCACAGCAAAGAGAGGGGTGACATAAACACCGAAAAGAAAAAGGGGGACGGACCCAGCTCCCCAGCCGCACCTCTGCCCACCATCCTTCTACTTTCTCTTCATCATCTCACAGAACACCCCCAAATGGAGTACAAGTGCGCAAATCCCTGACCAGGTCCTCAACACTGCTGAGGTGCCGGCCGAGGAGCTCCTGCTTCTCCTCGGTAGTGAGGGTGTTCTCGCTCTCGCTTCCGGCGCGGGGCCTGCCTCCGGCGGCGGCGGAAGAGGCGGGAGGAAGGTGAGGGCCGGGACCAGGACGGGAGGCGTTGCTGCGGAAGGCGCCGGCGAGTTTGCTGGGGCTGCGTTGGAGCATGGCGGGGACGGAGGCGCGGGCGTCGGCGCGCGGGATGGAAGGGACCTCGGGCATGAGGTAGAAGTAGAGGAACTCGACGAGCTTGAGCTTGACGTCGCGCGGGGTGGAGCGGGATTTGAAGAGGGAGGTGACGGTGAGGAGGCCGTCGAGGGCCTCGAAGGTGCGGGTGTTGGAGGGGGCGTCGATGAGGGCCACGACGAGGGTGAGGAGGGTCGCGGATTGGATGGCGGGGCAGTTGACGGGTTCGAGGAGGTCGAGGAGGAGCTGGGAGACGAAGCGCGATGCACTGGTTAGTTCCAATTTCACACGGCTTCGTTGCTTGGAAATATCTGTCTGTCTTTCCTCTCTTCTTCTTTTCTTCTTTTTTTCTTTGTTTCCTTTTTTTCTTTTCTTTTTTTTTTTTTTTCCTTTTCCCTCTCTGTTCTCTTTCCCCTCCCCGGTCATGTCTCACTGGTGGTGGCTTACATTCATGTTCTGCTCTCTCGAGAAGAGAGTCTTGCTCGGCGGGTGAAGGAGGAGGACACCTTGGATGGTGTCGAGAGCGCCGAGGATGAGGAGATCGTTCTGCCCGTCTGCGCTCTTAGCCATGAGGCGGTCGAGGGTGTTGATGAGGCGCAAGGCGACATTCCACTCGAACCCCTCCTGAAGCTTGAAGAACTCCCGAAAGGCCGGATCGTCAGAGAGCTCGCTTAGGGACTTGCGCCTGCCGCGGCTGTCTTCGTCGTCGTTGTCGTCCGTTTCGGCGCCGCCATTCCGTCGGTCGCCGTCGTTCGGATCGCCGACGGAGGAAAGCTTGCTGTCCGAGCGCTTGTGATGATGGTGCGCTTTCGTCGGGGAGGAGGAGGAAGAGCGCGCCGGGGCGGAGAGACATATCTGGGCGAGGAGGCCCTCGACTTGGCGCAGGCCCTTGCGGATCTTGGGCCCGTCGTAAGAGGAGAGGTTGTCGAAGGCGAGGGAAAGAAGGGCTTCCATTGTTGTTGTTGATGATATCGGAAACCGTGGGGTGATTAGTGCGCAACTGGGTATCACAAAGAAAGACAAGAGACAAAAGAAAATAATACACCGAGGAGTCGATGTTGATGCTGATGGGAATGAGAATGGGAATGGGAATGCGGAATGTAGAGCAAGAACTGCCTCTGTTTCCGGCAGAGTAGAGCTGTTAATACAAATGATGGGAAAGATAAAGGCGCCTTAACACTTGCTGGCTTGCTCTCCTCTCTCTCGTCCCCTTTTTCTCTTACTCGAGTATTATACAAGGCGCAAAGAGTAAAAGAGGTGAGAGGAGTGCGCAAGACGGCGATAAGGGCCAGGTGAAGGGACTTGATGGATAGATGCTATCATGAGCTTCGAGGCCGGGGAAGCTGCAGCTAGCTGAGAAGAGATGGCCGCAGCTTAAAGGCCAGCCAGAGAATTGTTTTGATTCGTTGCCATTGGGTGGTTACGGATGCCCCAGCAACCGGCATAACCTAGGGACTGGACAGGACCCTGGGCTGGATCCGGTTTAGCGTCGACTGACAGGCCAGGGACTGTCTGTGCCCTCGTCCTCAGATAACAGTACCGTAGTACTTTGGTACATACGACTAAGCTAAGGTACCTACCTTAAGGTATGACAGCTCCCACTCCAGGAAGTCAACGCCGATAAAGTTCGTCCACCAATAATTACCTTATTCGATGGACGTTATTAGCTGATGAAACTGAACCAACCCCCAAAAATCAATATAGAAACCCGAAACTCCTATCACCGTTGTTCTTTGGCAACTTTCGTCTTTCCACAGACTCATAAACAGGACTTACGAAGGGCTAGGGCGACAACCCCCAACCCCGGGTCCATTTCTGAGGACTGTGCAAGTTTATGTATACGTACGAATCAAAGATTGTATGCATGGCGCAGGAGGATGCAGATGTCTAGTTTCAGATTTCAACACATGCTAGGCTTTGCGTTTTGTCACGTGTGAAGTACAGACGTGGCATCAGCAGGCAATCAAACAGAAGCCCAGAGTTTGTTCGAACCAGCCAGTGGAGAGACACTGAAGGGAGCCAAGATGCCCCCATGCCTACTTGCTTCTACAGTAGCTAGCTGGTAGTGTAATTACCGCTGAGACACGCTAAATGACCAAGCAACACGATCTATTCCTTTATTTTCATTTTATTTTCATTCTTCTCTTTATTAATACCTTGGTCTTCTGAATGATCAAATTTCTCTTCTTCATCAATACTCCCTTCCTTGCTGTCCAGAGCTTCCAGAGCTTCTCTGCTTACCTGATGCTCCCTCCCTCTTCTCGGTCTTCTTAGGCGCGACACTTACGACGGATTAGCATGAAAAGAAAGAGTCGAGCATTTCGCAACCCTCTCTACTTTGCAAGTTAACCCGAATCTGTCGCCCTTGCTTCGTGCTTGTCTACTTTCCAATACTCAACCTTGGGTGTTCAAACCCTCCCTGGACCGCCACCGGTGAAAGCAGTGCAGCTAGCTCTACCTAACCTACCTTAGGTACCTCACCTTATCCAGTCCCATTCAAATTCCAGTACCTCCAGTACCTCACCCTATACGGTACCTTATTAGGTACCTCCACCAGCTGTAAGGTACCTGACTTGACTAGCTCCTGGGCCCACACAATGACGTCGATCCACACTGGAAGCAATGCAATGGCGGCTCCTGCCACACCCTCCATGTCACTCCGAGTAGCTCCGATCAAAATACCCCACAGAAATCGTCCTTCACGTTTCCAACCAAGGCGGCGGCGATCTGGACCCTACTCTCCCACGCAACAACATCTCGATCATACGAATAATCCCACCGACACCTCGAGTCTTTACTGTCTTTCTTTGACATCAATCCCACCTTCCTCCCTGCGATCGCAAATCGTCCAGCTCGAGTCCCGCCCCATCCACCAACTGCTGGCAGCATCACCATCAGCCGCATCAGCCGCATCAGCCGCATCACCAACATCACCCTCCAGGCACCAACGCCGTCCACTCTCTCAGCCAATCCCCATTTGCTGCTTGCTCGAAGTATGTGTGCGATTTATTCAATACCATCGACCATTCTTAATATTGTTCTTTCCACTCTGTTTTTCCCTTGCGATTTGTCATGGGGCTTCGCTGTATCCCTGGCTCCCCAAACTTCCCCGGCTTCCCCTTGGCTTTGCTTGGAGGCACTGTTGGCGGCCGCATTTTTTCTTTCTTTTTTTCCCTTTTTCCTTCTTTTTTTCTTTGTTCTTTCGTTCTCGCCAGCCTCCAAAAGCCCTTCCCTATTCCCTGGTTCCTTGCTCCATACCAGTAGGTGCATATAATGTACAACGTACAGATGCAGCCCATTGTTCTTGCCCTTAACCCCGCCTATCTACGGTCTAGTGTGTCTTCCGATTTAAGTATTGTTCACATTGTCTTTCCTGCTCCCTTCGCTCAGTTTCCCACCCATCTCTAACAACTGGACTATTCACTGCCCGCTCGCTGCTTCCCCTGCTACTGATGGTCATACGTTGTAAACGAAAATCGGCAGACAATCAGCACCTGCACCTTCTTGTTGTGAGAACCAAGCTTGATGCTGATCACGAGATGCTTTGTCTTTAGTCTTCACGACCTGGCTACTCTGCCCTTCCGGTTGTGCCTGCTGCCTGCCCGACTGTTAATCCGGATCCTGGTCCGGTACCCATAACCTTCTCTTCTCCAGGCTCTTCCTATCCACATTGTCAAGGCCAATCCGATTCGGCGCCTTCCCATTCTGGCGAGTCACAGCTTCCTGCCGCATCCCCACGATACCGTGACAAGCCAACCTCAACCTCCTTCAACCTGCTCACGTCCTCCCAACCTGAATCAGCGACAATGGCATCCTCCCACTCTCCCACTACAAGTACTACAAATACCCCCCCGGGTCTTCCTCTTTCGACCATCAACAGCCCGCCACTCGCCTCTCCCAAAGCTATTCCACCACGAACCTCATCCACCGGTGTCGTGCCCCCCGTCCAGCCGCCTCCTAGATCCACCCTCCGCCCACTCTCAGAAAGCGACTGGTTTTCTCAGAGCCAAAGCCAGCGTCCCAGCCGCTCTCCCGATTCTCCACCGAACAACGCCGCCAACACCAACACTCCAACTACGTCCTTCACTGTCACCATGCATCCACCTCCGCCCCCCGACCCCAACCGCTACGCGATCGAGAACATCAATATCACAAGCAAGAGGCCCTGGCCCGAAGAGAAGGAGAAGGTCCTGAATGGTCCATATGACTACCTCTTGGCACAGCCGGGCAAGGATTTCCGCTCTCAGCTGATCGGCGCCTTCAACGCTCTGCTGGATGTGCCGGAGGAAAGCCTGGCCATCATCAACAAGGTCGTCGCCATGCTGCACACCGCTAGCCTGCTCATCGACGACGTCGAGGACTCGAGCTCCTTGCGCCGTAGCCTACCCGTCGCCCATAACATCTTCGGCGTGCCCCAGACCATCAACTCGGCCAACTACGTCTACTTCTGCGCCCTGCGCGAGCTCCAGAAGCTGAACAACCCCACCGCCATCGACATCTTTACCGAAGAACTCGTCAGCCTGCACCGCGGTCAAGGCATGGACCTCTACTGGCGGGATACCCTGACTTGTCCCACCGAGGACGACTATCTCGAGATGGTCGGGAACAAGACGGGAGGCCTGTTTCGCCTCGGCATCAAGTTGATGCAGGCCGAATCGAGCAGCCCGGTGGACTGCATCCCCCTGGTCAACGTCTTCGGCCTGGTCTTCCAGATCCGCGACGACTACCTGAACCTCAGCAGCAGCGAGTACTCCCACAACAAGGGGTTGTGTGAGGACCTGACCGAGGGCAAGTTCAGTTTCCCCGTCATCCACGCCATCCGCTCCGACCCGGGCAACCTGCAGCTCATCAACATCTTAGGCCAGAAGACCTCCGACGTTGAGGTCAAGCGCTACGCCGTCTCTTACATGGAGCGTACTGGCTCTTTCGATTACACCCGCCAGGTTATTTCCGTCCTCGTCACCCGTGCCCGCAAGCTTGTCAACGAGATCGATGCCGGCCAGGGGGCCACCGCCGGCTTGCACGCCATTCTCGAGAAGATGACCGTCTAAGAACCGTGATCTTGCCTGCACGGTGGTCCGGATCATATCGACCTTCCTTGCAGATTCATGACCTTTTTTATTTTTTTTTTATTTTCCCCATCATCGACAGCAACTCTCCTTTTGCCTGACGAAGCTGGACAGCCTGGAGGAGAATGAAATGAGGAGATGATGTGTTGGAGGGTCGTCCCCCCCGGGAACGAATGGCCCGGCGTGCGGAAGTAGCTTGAGCCAGGAACAACTTGAGCAACAAGGGCCCCCGCTGCCGAACACTGGGCTGTCGGGGAACCACACCCAGCTTCTGACGCCGACAGGAATAACATCAGCGAGTCCCGCGGCCTAGTCGTCGATCGAGGACGAGACCGGTTCGGGACAGCAGGTTCCAAAGGCTGAGCTTAACTTTGCGAATTGGTCAAAACTAGCTACGCCGATATGGAGCAGGAACACGGGCTCGTTACGGGGATCAATGTGCCCTTATAAACGAGCTTTTTCCGAAACCAAAAACTCGCACGGGCTTCAGAGTGCGTCACTTTGACACACAGGCGTATGACTTTAGTGGATACCTACCTGCAGCGAAGCGGTTTGGTTTAGGTCTGAAAGCAATAGTAGCGTTTATGATACCATTTCTGACTTGCTTTTTTCTTCTTTTTTTCTTCTTCTTTTGTTTCCCCCTCTCTATATGCGGGTCTGCACTTTCATATCACCAGTCGCTGGAAGGATATTGTCGCTCCTCGCACCAAGAGTGTACGACACAATTGCTACACACCAAACATACACCCAATTTGCGTGGCTACGTGGTAGGCTTTACCAACCTTTCCTAGGCCATTGCCTACTCGGGGTAGGATAGAGAGATATAATAGAACAAGCAAGCTACCGCCAAACGTAGGGAATGTAAAGAATGGCCATATGTCCCATGAACATGTCGTGTATCACATTCTTATTAGGTATCTGGCCCCCTTTTTTTCTTTTTGGTTTGGGG